CTTTGAAATTCATAATCATAAACTTTGAAATTTATAACCATGAACTTACAAAATTTAATTAATAATCATGAACTTTTGAAATTTATAAGGATTTCCATAAAACTAAAATTACTAAAAATTATAGTGGTTGTTTCTGAAGAAGGAAAAAACAACAGAACAATGTGATGTATTATAATGTTGAACATATAGTACAGAAAAAATTAGGTTAGATTATGTTGAATCATTACTTAAAGATATACTTTGCTCATCTTTGGGTAAAATACTTTTAAATATTGCAGAAATTTATTGAAATCTTGATTGAAAACTAGTAAATTCTTCCTGAATATGTCTAATTTGGGTTAGTGAATGTATAAGCAATGTCTTGGAAGCTGCATGTAATCATACTATGATTACACGTAATGCATAGAGTTTAAAACGTAACATATTTTCTCTGTGCGTATTCAAAAGATGTTTATGTTAATTTTCAAAAGAGACTGTATAGTAATTATCAGTTTCTTCAAATATCAAATTTGAGCATAATATATCTTTAATTGTAAATATTCACAATTGAAACATGATATCAAATTTATGAGAACTACATTTCACAGAAGTGAAAGTATCTCAGCTACCACAGAATATATAAGTAAATAATTCATTTGATACTAGTGTTTTAATTTTGGACAATGATTCAAAATAATCTATACTGTACTAGCTGGGGCACCTCCACTTTTGTGAGACATAGTCCTGATTCAATTTGACATATATTTCAATTTAACCCTTAATCTGCTAAATTTCTTTAATGGTCTTTTCCAATTTCTATTTTGGAACAGTCCATTATCAATTTTAGGTATATCATGGTGAGAATTTGAAGTTGGCCAGCCAACAGTATAGAGCCTGGTCAGACTGCATGGATGTGCAGGCTGGCCTGGCTCTATACTGGTGGCAAAGACTAATCACTTTTGCCTTCAGCAGGGTAAAGGTTGAAGTAAAATTTAATTTGAAATTATAAAAAAAGCAAAATGGATTTTTAGCAAAGTAGCCTTTGTTGAAAATCTTTTATGAACTATAAATGTTTCTCTGACAGAAGAAAAATAAAAATAATTAATTAATGCCATAAATGATGCTCACTTCATGGACATTTTTTTTAGATTTTACAGACTTCATAAAAAACATACATGACATTCATGTATTATGCAACACAATGATAGCATAATTTTGTATATCACACACATCAAATATGGCAAGAGCTGTTGGTAGGACAGCATGCTTGATTATTCTCAGTTCTTGAAAGTTAAACAAGATGTAAAATTTTCTAAGTTCAAAAAGAGCCATAATTCTGTCAAAATCCATGGTAGAGTTATGAACCTTAGACAGTGCTCTTATGCTCTTGAAATGTGTGAAGTTTCAACCAATTACCTACAGTGGTTATTTGAGATAACTTGCACACAAAAAAATTGCTCAAGGATGATGCTGTACGCAACCTCTCTCTTTGTTAGGTTGACACATTAATGAAGTACATGTGTACATTCAAAAGTTCAAATAATGCCCAAAGTCTGCCAACCATATCCACTGGTAGACATCCATGGAAGGTAGTAACACACTCATATACAAGATTATTATCAATGTAAATATGCTATACTGCTATAAGAAATGATGTAGTGAGATGTGAAGCATGAAGAATTACAAATTAGTATACAAATGCAACATTGATAACTTTCTCTGTAGTTACAACTTTGTGTGTTCTAAGACAACAGAAAATTAAAACAAAAAACACTTAATTTGAGGTAAGTTTATCACTCCTGAACAAAAATCTGGATATCTTTAAATGACCGTAGTGTTGTTTTCATCTTGAAATAATTAAAATAATTAATTTACACTGATTAAATAGAGAAAATTTCATGTTAAACGATAGCTTTGAATTAAAATTTAGTAACAACAATATAACTTGCTATTAATAGCTAGATAAAAAAAATAAAATAAAACTAGGATATATATATAATTCAAAAGAATATTTATTAGATATACTATGCTCATCTTTGAGTAAAATATTTTTATTGCACAAATTTATTGAAATCTGTACAATTCTTTCTGAATATGTCGAATATTTAAATAAAAAGCGTACAAACTAAGTATTGGAATCTGTGTTCCTTATTACGGGTCAAGTAAAGTTGGTCATTTCTTAAACAAAAAAATGCCAGTTTTTTTTTTAATGACACTATATATTTATACTGTACCCACTTATTATGTGTAGGATTTAAAGCATAACATATCTACATCATGTGATGTCAAAACATGCTTATTTTAAATTTACAAAGAGACCATGTAGCAATTATCAAATTTTCTACATAGTATATCTTTAAACCTATCTAAATTTTTGCAACTCATCATGTAAGATTTGAAGTATCAAATTTGATCCTGATCCTATTTTGTTTCAACTTTTGAAACAAAAAGTTTTGATGTTAAGGAGGTACATGTATAATAATACTGTCAAATAATATTTGCAGGTGATTAAATCTCTCATATACATGTATGTAGGCAATAAATGACTAAAATCTGGATTTCGAAACAGGAGTTCATTAGAAATTGTGAGAAATTATGCCTTAAAAATATCAAAAAGCCTATGACAATAAAATGCAATAAGACAAGGCTTTAGGACTTAAAGCAAGCTAACATTTAGTTATGTATTACAAAATAAACATTTATTTAAATCTTGACAATTTGCTCTTTATAATTTTGATTTATGTAGAAAGAATCAACAAATAGAAAGGACGTGTAACACTCATAATGACACAAACATTTCAGATATCTCATATGACCCTTTCCAGATATGTCAATACATAACAATGTAAGGGTCAACTTATGAAATTTGGAAATCTCACCTTCAAAGCATTAAAACTAAAAATGTGCCTATAGGATATTGATGGCCCTACATTCCACTGTATTGTCAGTCTACTGACTATACAACAGGACAGACAAAGGAAGTTCTACATGACTTCTTCTACCCTTAAGTGGCATAAGAACAACATCCAATTTTTCCCATGTTGGCATCTTGATTTTTTTCCAATATTGATCTTCACAAATTTCAAACCTCAATTTCATATTCTAAAGAATGCTTAAAAAGAAATATAAACAAGCAAACCCCAGATGCACAACTACACATGCTGACCAATATTCCTGTAAAATTTCATGACTCCAGGTCAAATATTTTTTTAAGTTACGCAAGACACAAGTTGAAAATTGCATTTTTTTACTAAGTGCAATAACTCTACAAATAATTTTCTCATCTGAACAGAGGTCATAGGTCAAAATATAAAAAAAACCTTCTTGATACTATCAATGTATATAAATTCAATATACTATAAATTAGTTCAATTAACGTATTAAAAATCTTTCGTTGACTTTCTGGAATATATATCTACATACATGTACATTATATAACAAAATAATAATAACAGAAATTCAAAATATAATCTTTGGATAATGCGTATTTTCCAGTTTTTGTAAAAATGTTGCAATTGTTAGAACAATATTCCCAAGGCTATTAACAAACGAAAGTTACATATTCCCATAATCTGTGTCTTAAATAGTGTAGAAACTATTGTAAAAGGGACCGTAACTCATCATAGAAAATAAAATTGTGATAGCATACGAGGAATGATAACATGTAAATAAAAATTCTTCAACTGTAAAGTTGCTTTGTTATATAGAATATAAGAACGGTATTGAAGGTCGGAGGGAAAACATCAGAAAGAGTAGCTCTGTATGAACCTAGTATATCTCTGGGGGCTTCTGAGTACACAGTATATTCTCAAAATTTAAGTTATGATCAACTAATCATTTGCACTCTGTTCAGGGTATCAAAGCTGAATTCAATCTGGCTAAAGTTTAGATCTACACTAGTTATTTCCTGCATGTAGATCTGATTGCCATTGTATTTGTTTCACTTTCACTGTGATTCTGATTTAGCAAAACAGCTTTTTTTTAGCCATGCAATCAAATGGTCCTTTACAGATAGGCATTAGACAAAATATCAAAATATCGCTGTCTTAGGAAGTAAAACAAATTGTTGATTGAAGTAATTTGAAACAAATTAACTGGAAATAATATACTCAGTGAACTGTAAGTGGGCAAGATTGTTTTGCCAGTTTAACTGCCGGCTATATGGACAACACTATGTTTGTTCTCGAAATTGTGAAAATAACCTACTCACTTCTGGTTTTCCAGTGGTTAAAATTAGAAACCACATTATTTTGAAAGTTCATAGATGTTTGTCTGTTTGAAAGGTCACAAGGTGATTTTTTATTGGTGAATTTCTGATCTTAATGCGTAGCATTAATTTGGAGCTGATTTTATTCAGTTTAAGCTAGATTTATTTAGTTTATGGATAACAACATGACTCTGTAACATATCTTGATAATTCAATGATAATAAAAACAATCCACAAACCTAATGGTTTCTAATTCAACATAAACACAAACCAACAACTATTTTTACAGACCAACCTTGACAAAATTTTTGTCATTTTCTGTCATAAATCTTGTCTAATTCTTCACAAAAAAAAATATTTAAAAAAATCTCAATAGGAAGTTCCTGCCTTTTACAATGTTTACCTCCCTTTCCAAAAGTGGGAGCCATTTTAGGGGTCAATATTCTATGTTATATAATTGACAGAATATGGAAAATCAATAAATCAATAAACAGCAGATTTACATGAATTGTCAAAATATTTTATACATATGCAGCAAAATATTATCATAGAACCAGTATGTAAAATATTCTTATCAGTTTTCATGACGCTGAGAGAATTGTCACAGATTTTTATCTTATCATAAGCACAGGTGCTTGGAACAAACTTTTTAAAGTTTTAAATGGGCTTTATATAATATATAATATAATATTATATATAATAAGATCTTAATGTACATATATAGACCGGTTATGTAAAATATTTGATTATGTGACTAGCGCCTGTGATCATAAGCATATGATATATTAGGAATTACCCCAAAAATGGTGGCCAGGGGAGGTAATAATTGCTATGTGAAAAGCTATGTATAAAGTATGAAAGTTGACTCTGTGTACTTTTACCAGAACCAATACATTGTACATTTGGCAGTTTTAACCACAACAACTAACCTTAAAGAAGAACTTTACAAACTTGATACAATGATATAACAAAATGCCATTCACATCAAAATGCACATTTTACTTTGCTATGAGAATATTTTCTGAGATGTTAAAATGGACAAAATATTTGTCAAGGTTTGACTGTAAACAAACACTACTCCTACATTAACTTTTATAAAAACAAATATCAATAATTACATAACATAAAACAAAACAATCATTTCTTTTTCTAAAGAAAACATTCTTATAAACATTTTTTAAATCACATGTGCACATAAATAACATCTTTAACATAGGATCACATTATAAATTTATATTTTCTTAATATTATAAACTTATCACCTAGCTGTCATCACTGTCTATGTGAAAGACTTCGAATTTCCGTAACCACATTCGTACTGTTTCAAATGTCATAAAACTAATGCCAGCAGATATAGGTCCCTTTATCCAATTCATAGATAGGCCTTTATAGAGACCACCTTTGAGCCCTTCATGTACATAAACTGTCTTAGCAGTTTTATATATAGTAGTGTAATCTGTTGAGTGACCAGTAACACCTGAAAAATATATATAAAATTATTTGTAACTAAAATGCCTATTGTTAGGTACTCCATATGTTGTAAGCTTGTAAACAATTTTGTCAACACTTTAAAGGCACATTGTACCTCAGAAATCAATATTTGTGTGCTTCTTCAAAAAGGTCAAGCGTGCGTTTTATATTGTTTCAATAGTGGCTTTCAGAGCACATGATACACACTGGAAAAAATAGCACTGAACAATCAGTAACGGGTCTTAAAGGTAGCAAAGTGTAAACAAAGAAGTATTTTGACTTTCATATAAATACTGGATCCCTATTATTAAACCAATAGTCAAAGAGCAAAAGAAGCAAAAGATATTTCATCTATATGGCCATGGGTAACAGTTTGGAAATTGTAACAAGATACCAAATATAAATAGTTTTGGGGATATAAAAATGAAAGCATTTCCATGGCTTAATATCACCAATCACATCAATTTAACAAACTGAAAACATTTTAACATAGCACTATCTTTATTTATTTGGTTACATTAAGAAGATGTGGTTCAACAATATAAATGATTAAATGAGTTGCGGGAATGACCTGAAAATTTGCACTTAAGTTATTGGTTCAGATTAACATATGAGCCGCATCACGACAAAACCAACATAGTGCGTTTGCGACCAGAATGGATCCAGACCAGCCTGCGCATTCGCGCAGTCTGATCAGGATCCATGCTGTTCGCTACCAGTTTCTCTATTTTGTAATAGAGTTTGTAAGCGAACAGCATGGATCCTGATCAGACTGTGCGGATGCGCAGGCTAGTCTGGATCCATGCTGGTCACAAACCCATTATGTTGGTTTTGTCCATGACATGGCTCATATATAGAACACATATCTCAGAAAAATGTTTCAAATCCTGTCATGTCAAAAACTCTTGAACAAATATTTTACATAAAAATATACAACTTGTTCAATACTCACTGAAAAAAATATTTCAATAATAAATCAAGTGATCAGTAAGTTAATAATAAAAATATTACCAGCAGTTTGCATGCGTCGTCTAACAATATCTAAAGGATATGATGTACACTGGCCACATATACCCGCAACAGCTCCACAATACCAACGTTCTAGGGGCGTCGGGTCAACACCCTTTGAATATTCTGTTTCAAAAATGGGAAAGATAAATTTCATATATGCTTTAAGTAAAGTAATTGTGTGATATAATTTGTAATTAACAATAGATAAAATAATCAATTAAAACTGAAATAATTAGAATGAAATCAAAGGGTAACAAATATGAGTACAAGTATGAGAACAAGAAAGCATTTTCATCAACTATTTATATATTCTTGGTCAAACGCAAAACTGCAGTAACTTATATGAAATAAAGATAGTCTTACAACAGTCAACCCTTGATATGCACATTTTTTTTTAGAATTCATACAGGTGTATTCTAAACATTTTTTAACTATGTAGACTTGTTAACAAAGTTGTCTCAAATCTTGAGAGTAAAACATTTGGCCTTGCAGGAAATTCAGAAATAAATTACATTGTAGAGATATGTTAAACGGTCAGTGACATACAATTATAATCCTAAATACATGTTTCAAGTGAGTGAATCAGTCGAATTAATCTGAGATCTTGCTTTCATGATAAAGTATATAATGTTTAGGGTTAAACATAATTGCCAAATGAGCCATTTTCAGAACTGTTAAAAACGTAATTAATGTCTTTTGCTAAAAACTTTTAATACTACAGAAAGTTAATATATAAAAAAACTTCAGGATGCAAGTCATGTAGTCAAACCAGCTCACTTGATACAGTGTTAAAACAGTAATTCTAGTATCTAGTTTGCCACTGCACTAACATCAACACAAGAACCACAAAGTTTACCTGCATGGACGATTTTTAAAGTTTCGTATGTAAAGAAACTGATGCCTGAATATATGCAAGATCCGAACATCGTTGGAGTGTAGCCTCGCATCATTACCCTCCAACCCTCCTCCCTCAGTACATTCCGGAAACATACTATCAAACTGCTATATCTGTACAACACACAAAAGAAAACATGTTTGATTTTAATATGCCAGTCTAATAATGTTACAATATTATAGTTTGTCTTCACCAGATTAGCATATTATGACTGATGTCAAGAGACACATATAAATGCTACAGGGGCAATTAGTTAGATATTCTGACAATGTATGTCAGATCATATTATTTAATGTACATGTTTATATAACTTGAAATGAATCTGTCAAAACTCCTACACAGTGGTCTCCCTTTGCTTCACAACACAGACCACTGTCATCACAAGCTTTTTCTTAACAAAATATTGACAAAATGTTAAACAAAATAAATTATTTTGAATGTGATTTATTTTCTTGAACATATTGGGAAATGATAACTTTTAGCTACCAGATTGCTAAAATTGAATAAAATAAAATATAAATATTCTGTTGGTACTTTCGGCACTGTATGTAACAGGTTGTTTACTCCTAGTAAAGTAAAAGTAGGATGTTTGCAGTTTATATAATATATATAATCCAAACCTGAAATTGCATTGGCCCTGATGGACATTAGTGAAACGGAACATCTTTAGTTATTTTGGCCTTTACAAAGTCTGGAAGATATTTTAAAACATTGATACTTATCTTTATCATCAAAATATGAGTGACTGGCCCTGACAAGTTCAAGAGGATATCTAAAAAATATATTACCTATCTTTATGAGTGACTGCCATCCTGGCCCTGGCAATGTCTAGAGGATATTAAAAGGATATTAAAAGATTTATTACCTATATTTATGAGTGACTACCATCCTTGCCCTGGCAAAGTCTAGAGGATATTTAAACATATATTACCTATCTTTATGAGTGACTGCCATCCTGGCCCTTGCAATCTCTAGAGGATATCTAAAAATATATTACCTATCTTTATGAGTGACTGCCATCCTGGCCCTGGCAAAGTCTAGAGGATATATAAAAATATATTACCTATCTTTATGAGTGACCGCCATCCTGGCCCTGGCAAAGTCTAGAGGATATATAAAAATATATTACCTATCTTTATGAGTGACTGCCATCCTGGCCAGTGTCTATTCTAGGAATTCAAAAAAAGGGGTGATTTTCCCCCCTCTATTTCAAAAAAGGGGGCGATTTTCAAAATCAAGGGGTGCCAATATGAACTGCCAATGTTAAATCGTCTGCATTAAGTTTACACTAAGGCGTTCAACCAATGAAATAATTAACATGAAAATATTTATTAAAGGCAGCAGAAGTTGTCCCCCCTTAATTTTTAAACGAAAACAAATTATTATAGAACTGTCGCGATTTATTATAAATGGATTGACAATACAAACAATCAACCTATCTTTCATGTCTACATCGTAGCCAAGCTAGGAATTGCCTCATTTTTCTTGATTATTTTTTACTACACTAAAATGGCACCCGACTGTCAGACATAGCACACTAGTTCCAGTTGGTACGGAACATCCGTTAATTTCCGTCAACTCACGTAACAAGTACCATACGGTACTAAATAATTATAATTAGCTTACAATTACCTCTTTTCGGTTTCCAGTGTAAATGTAAACAAAACAACCAAATATAATGCGGGATGAAAGTTTTACTATTTTATTAATCTTATTTATAGATGCGCGATTTTCACGCACATGATTTTGAATTGTGCGCCATATGTGAAATACTAGCGTGAATCGCGCAATCGCGCGTCCTAGAATAGACACTGCCTGGCCCTGGCAAAGTCTAGAGGATATATAAAAATATATTACCTATCTTTATGAGTGACTGCCATCCTGGCCCTGGCAAAGTCTAGAGGATATATAAAAATATATTACCTATCTTTATGAGTGACTGCCATCCTGGCCCTGGCAAAGTCTAGAGGATATGTACAAGTTGTGGCAGTTACTCCAGCAAGAGAACCGGCAGCTGCTCTCAACAATGGTGGTAAATTTCTGTATATTTAAAATAATATCTCTTCATAGAATTAATTGATAACGACATCCTTTCAAAATCTGCTTTTTGCAAAAAAAAAAATGTAATATTTCACATCATGGGTATTGTGTCTATAGTTTGTACCCAGTAAAGTATGCTCAGCAGATATTGTCCAAACTTTCCACTACAAGGTAAACAATGTAAAAATTTGCCTTTTCTACAGGTACGGAGACAGGCGCAACAACATACATTTAGAAACATAATATTTAAATAAATGTGACAAATGTGAAGTAGTTTTCCCATTCAACAAATAACACAGATCCTTTCTTTGAATCTTTTGTTCAGTTATGCATACATCAGTCAATGTGAAAGTTAATTTTTTTTTCCAGCCACAAGGACTGGGATCCTTAGATTTATTTCCGGCCATGATGATTTTTTCCCGGCCTGGACTCTGAAAGGTATTTCATTGTAGGGGTGGGGGAGGGATATTGCCATAATTATAAACAAAAATATTTAGCAAATATGAATTATCAGACTCAACTATAAGATAATATGAAAAAAAATATACAGAAACATAATAAATAAAACATTAGCATAATTCACAAGAAAACGATACATCTTTCAAAGGTTTAATTTTGAAAACTGGAGAAAAAAATATGTTTTGGTAAGGAAATTATCCAAGACAAGATGGTGGCTCACATAACTTAGCAAAAACTGATTGTATCTTGCGGTGATTTTGGTTATCTTGGTCTGTGAATACAAGCAAAAATGAAAAAAAAAAGATCGATCTTGGAAGTTTTGCATATTTTAGAAGGCCAAAACTTGTTTCAAACTGGCTGAAATTTTATGCAGACATGAGGACTGACTGTATTCAAATTTACCTCGGCCCTTCTGATTTTTAGTTGGCGAGGTCCAAGACCGACAGACTTTTGCACATACTGTACATGTGCAATGTGTTGCATCATGACAACATAAAGATATCTTAATTACAAACTTGACAGAGTTGTCCTTACATTGGAAAAACATGCAAATCATTATATCCTGCTTCTGTCTATATAATCTGCTGGATAAAGCCTTACTGGATTAACTTATCTATCTCATCTTATCATGTCACATGGTTCGCAGCATACAGACAATGTTTTATAGTGGAAAAGGTAAGATTAACACCATTTAAATAATCTAAAAACATGGTTAAACTCATTAAAAGCCGGATAAACCCAATACATGGTTCTTGAAGGGTTGGAGAAGGTTAAAGCTAGCCAAGATACACTTTCTCGCTCACCAGCCGCGGCCCTGACAAGTTCAAGAGGATATTTAAAAATATATATATATATTGACTGGCCCTGACAAGGGAACTTACTTTCGTTTTTTCCCTTTGTTCAGCAGCAGTTTATATTGTTCGTGAGCAGTATATTGTATGGCAGCATATGGGACTATTCTAACCATTGTGGCAGAGTTGCCCCTCCACAGGGCAAGAAATCCTTCACTTTTGTAAGTCTTGATGAGGAACTGTATGGCTTTCTTAAATGAGAATCTCATTGTATTGGAGGCTGAAACACAAATATTTATAGGTTAATTTACATTTTACTGTACAATATGGGAATATATTTGGATAAGTACACAGCTTGAAAAGTCCCATTGAACAAGCCGATAGGTGAGTCCAATATGAGTTTTCAAGCTGTGTATGAGTCTTAAATTTGTTAGAAATTAAAATCAGAAACCAGACCAGCATCTTTAGTGAACACGTACCCAACCGTCCAATATGAAAATTATTTTTTTTTGATCCAATACGTTAATATATTTGATGGTCTTGAGGTACAAATGCAAATTGTTGATTGGTTAGATTTATTAGATATATAATAAATTTGAATATTGTCCTATCATATCAATACAACTTTCAGATTTTTTTTTTACTCTGTAAGTTGTGGGCATTGGAAATTAAAGTTGTATTAAGTTTAAAAAGAACATCTCTACTACACTATATCAATGCTGTCACTTGTTTCAGCAGGATAGCTCCACTAATCCTTGAATAAAAGTGTTTGAAAATGATATTAAAGGGACTCCACTTAGGTTCTTTGTCATGAAGGGATTGGAAACAGATTTCCCAGATTTTTGTACAATTTGATGTAGATCTCAATAACTTGTGCAAATTGTCAGATCATTTCCTTAACCCACTTTCCAGGATTATCATTTTTATTGTGCAAAATAAACAAAAAATGAAAATTGTTGCAAAGCTTCATTGTATTCACTAATTTTTTGCCAATCACAATTTGTGAAATTATCACAACTTTATAATATGCATATGCACACTACAATGCATAGCAAGATTTCTACAATACAATGCATGTAGGTGTGTCCAACATTTCTCAATTCTTGTAAAAAGTATTTAATGAAAAGTCTTAAGCTTAAATGGATACCAGTTTGTGCTGTAGCCCAGAAAAGGATTTGACAAACATAATTTCTTACTCTGAAAGTTGATCTTGGTTCTATCCAAGGGTGCTATCGTTGTTTTGGCTATTGCCCCAGCAAAGCCCCCTGCTATGAAAGACGTGAGGATTTTGTTGTGATTTGATATCTGTAAAATAGAACCCAATATGACTAATTACTAATAATGTTTCGACATTTATCTGTTTTACATTTGTTAATTAAACCTTGAAAAATAATACTGACAAGTATCAGAAGGAAAAACTTTTTTATATCAATTTTAATGTTAATAATTCCCCTCTCTACCAAATCACCTGCTACATAAACCTTACAAGTCAGTTTTACAATAAGTGTAAAGCCTGAGAATACTAGCCACCTACCTACCTATATATGAGCCGCATCACGACAAAACCAACATAATGGGTTTGCGACCAGCAGGGATCCAGACCAGCCTGCAATCCGCGCAGTCTGATCAGGATCCATGCTGTTTGCTTACCAACCCTATCACAAGTAGAGAAACTGATAGCGAACAGCATGGATCCTGATCAGACTGCACAAATGCGCAGGCTGGTCTGAATCCATGCTTGTTGCAAACTCACTATGTTGGTTTTGTTTTGACGCAGCTCATATGTTGTACCTACTCATGAATTTGAAAAACCTGGCTAAACACCATTTGATGTTAGCTCTGGTAAATTTGCCTGAATGGGATGTAAAAGCAATCAAGTATGTTTTAGTCTTTTTTGGATTTAAATAAAATAAAACAAACAAAACACGATTAAATATCATTATATGAATAATTCCACACAAAAATATATGTTAATTTAATATGCAGCAATACTCTTTATTTATTTATTAAGGCAGGTGCTACTATGACTGTTTTAAATTTATAGATTTTCATTACAAACACTTTAATTTTGTAAAATCTGTGGTAGATAGTAAAGGAACATTCCACCATAAACAGTTTTGAAAACATGCAAAAAGCACATCGTACATCTGTGTACAATGTATAAGGTGTAATTCCCCAGAGCTAAATCTGTAAATTGCCAGTCAATAGAAACATAGTTCAAAAGAGAAAAACAGAATCCCTAAAGAACGCCCAAAACGGTAAAATTGAGAATGTTGAAAACTTCAATACCTTCTCATTGATGTGATGTTCCTCTCTATGGAAGTGTTCATCATGATGATTATTGTGATGATTGCCTTCATGATCATGATGATGATTTTGGTTTTCTTGAGATCCTGTCAACTCACCAATCTCCCCAGCGGCAATATTTGTACATTCCTTACACAAACTATTCCCATCCTGCTCTACTACTGATGTCTGTTGTACAGCGGTATTCTGAACAACTCCATTGCTGCCCTTGTCCATTGAAGCCCTTTCAGCTGGGAAGAATAATATAAGGCATTTGATATAACTGATCTGACGAAAGAAGAAACGAAGGTGGGTAATTTCATTTGAATCTCTTCACAAAATAACAGCAAAAAAATTGTCTATTATGTCTATCATAGGTGAAATTCTTTAAAAATTTAAAATAATCAAAATTTTAATTAAGAAAAATTTATTTAGAAAATGTGCAGTTTATTTTCCAACACTTGAGAAAAAAGAACTTTCTGCTATAGTTTTATTAACCTTTTTAACTTTAAACAATGGACTCAAGACATCATAATTGTATAAATAGTCTTAGAATTTGTATTTTGAAGTGAATTATGGTCAAGCAGTTAATGACATATTAATTTATAATTTACCTTACAACCTATCGCAGATATATTTCCTTCTTCACGCCTGTAATTCAGACCACCTTTTTACATTTTCCTGTAAGAAAAAACATCTCAATTTACTTTTCTTTTGAAGTTAGATTTATAGTTTTTTATATTATCAAGGCTTTTTTTTCTAAAAGTGGTGGTATGTAATTTCTTTAAAATCATTAGTGATTACTGAATAAATTCTTTAAATGCATTAATATATAATTAGATTCAAATCGATGTGTAATGTTAATTTCTTAGCTATACACTTTTGCAGTCATCTGTTAAGACCTAATGTATTTATATTATTTACATGGGAATTGACAAACTGTAAAATATCAGATTAATGGATCAACATGAAATAGAGTATGTGTCACAGGGTGAGAAAAATGTGCAGCCCGACCAGGACTCAAACCAAGGAATTTCGGAATACTGTACCACGGCTCTAATGGCTGAGCTATCCGGCCATTACACATTACTCCCCTAATTAGTGAAAAGTTCAAAACCGTGGCATACTCCCCTGCTATATATTGGAATTCGTCCTCAGATTTCTTAGGGTTACAGAGCAATGTGAATTAAATTCTGAGCTATATGCAGTCACGGTCCCATGTTGGGCGCCACATGTCACAGGGTGAGAAAAATGTGCAGCCTGACCTGGACTTGCATCCGAGATCCTTGGAATACCTTACCGCTTGAGCTATCCGGCCGCTTACACACTATCTCCCCTAATAAGGAAAAGAGTCAACTCGGCCCTATACCAACTCGGCACGGGTCAACTCGGCACGGGTCAACTCGGCCCACTTTACAAAAATATATAGGCCTATAACGTATTTACTTTGCTTTGCATGTTGTAAAGGTAAATGAATAATAAGAAATATCTTATTATTATTATATAATTATGCATTGTACCTCTGCGGAAATAAAGTATATTTAGAAAGAAAAGTAATTTATTTGTCTTGCAGATTCGATAAAATTGATATAGACACAGGCACGATTATCGAACCTGGAAAGAAAAAATATGAACAGATTGATAAAATAACTTCATATTTTTTCTTCCCAGGTTCGATACTTGTGCCTGTGAATATAGATATAATATAAATGTGTTTCCTTAGATGCATTTTGTTTGTAAAGTAATTTTCAAAAAAATATGAAACAAAAACGTGTTTACTTAACAGCATATAAGCTTCTAATTAATTTCAGGTGGTCACTAATCAAATTTGAATGAATGAGTCAATCATAATTATCACCTAATTAATCGGTATCTTTAACAAACATACACATTGATTGATAATAATAGCCCGTGACAATAGGAGTCCGTTGATGTCCTTTACCCATTTTTAAAAGTGGGCCGAGTTGACCCGTGCCGAGTTGGAATAGGGCCGAGCTGACTCGGGGGCCGAGTATGTTTTAGGGCCGAGCTGACCCGGATTCCCCTAATAAGTTAATAGTTCTGAACCATGACATCCATATTATAGGTCTTAAGTGGGTCGGAAAAGACATGGTTATATTTGACTGTAGTCCAATAAATTAGATGTTACAGGCTTGATATAGTTTTATGTCAGTCAAGCCTGTTGCTTGGCCCAGAAGCAAAAATATGTCAAAGCGCCGTCATATTTATAGGACTAATAAACAAAAGGTGTTTGACAGAGGAAATTTCAAAATAGCAACAAAATTTACATAATTATTTTTCTTTTCAAGTGTCTGTTCAAACAAAAAAAAATAACATCCTCCATCATGCACTGGATTCTCATACACTCATCTGCTCAGATTCAGCAAATGAGCAATTGAGTGTGTGAATGAAATGTGTCACTATGAATAATTTGTTATCAGGTCATATAGCAAAATGCAAAGGTTTTAGATATAATTTTGCATACATTAGGTATGAAGCTAACTGACAAAGTGTGTACGCCTGCATGTAAAGGTGCCCTCCACCCCCATTTTCATCTTGGCCCTCATTTGTGACCTTGATTCTATTTATGGACGCCGAGAGCATTTTGAGCAAGCTATTGACATGTTATGTCATTGTTTTCTGTTTGATATTTACAATGCAATACCATGTCACAAAAGTTTAAAGAACAATATGCAATAACTGGTCAAATAAAATCACCTATAGATACGAGTTAAAGTTCTGTAAACTGAAAAAAAATCGTCAAGTTAGAAAGCAGAACGTTGTTGTTTTGATGCACTGTAAATGACAGAAAGTATCCAAATGCGATCTAGATCATAAAGCCGCTTGATTTCGGAATGTCTGACTTGGGGTCAGGCTGGTCTATTGATTTTCCCATCGGCTTAAATGACGAATAACGGCCCCTAAAAACCCATATATTGTATTACTTTTTTAATGAACAGGATAGAAGATGTGTCAAAGTTTTAAATCTCGATTATTTTTTCAATTCAACAAAACTAGCAAAAGTACTCCATTAATTGATTCTATTCGGCTTCTCACTTATCCAATTGAATAAAGATGCACGCCATGCATAATTATAAATCAGCCAGGGTATTTCAAATAGTTCTTACGTACTGTAAAGAAAACTCAATATCAAAAGACTACTCTAATATTTATTTACAGAAGTATTAACAGTGGTCTTGTTATATTGCATGTTTAATGTATTAAAGTGTCTGTCAATGAGAAAGGAGAGCTAGAGCTAGTTAACAGAGTGTGCATATTTAATCAAGTAGGCGGAGCTAATCTCTAAATACTAACAACACTACAGTTTTACTTTAAAGTACCTGGATAAATTGATTGGTATGTTGCCTCAGGCTCTTTAAAATTGACATCTTTCTATTTGAAAGTCCCTGGTTGCCTCTGAATATTGAAAAAACTAGAGTCTCAAATAATTTAGGTAATGAATTTTGCTTGTATACAACAAGCCTTCTATCAACTTTAATGAGATAAATATGGATCGATCAACGATTAAAGAATCTTGCTTTGTGTATAGATTAATAAGTTGTAGTTTTAAGATTTTATTTTTGCCATAAAGTAAATTCTAAGGACGACTACTTATATATTATAAATCATAAAAACAATCAACTTTAATATAATCATATATATTTTGATGATCGCAGCAGTATATCCGTTAAATCATTATCAGCTGGGCATTTGAAAATAATAAGTTTAGACAACAAGGCAGGAATTAATATTTTAAAACAGGTATTCTAAGAATTAAAATTGTTAAAGTGGAAAGCGTTTAATAATTATCGAACAACATCTCATTTTAACATCAGGATATTTGAGCGAACATAATTATACATACTTGCTTCTTAACAATAGTTAACAATAAAGACTAGCAGACATAGTACTGTTGATTAATAGAATGAAGAAATCGAGCATTAGTTAATGACCATGAGTTTTTCATAGTTAAAAGTGTTAGAGTGCACGATTGACACAATTCATTTATCGGTTACGACAAGCAACATGATGTATGCACTCTTTCAATTTATGGACAAGAATAAAGGATCAATGGTTTAACATAAGCAGCATTTCTGCCTACAATTTTATTTCTGAGAAGTATATTTAGCTTTTTTAAAGATACATGTAATTTTTTTTCAACTCCTTTACCTGTACTCCTGTTTATAACCATATTCATAAAATTTATTGCCCTTGAAGAAATTTTGATAAGCTAAGTTTGTGACACTGTGTAAACAGTGTCGTCACGGCTTTAGTTCAGTTTTACCTGTCTTGTAGTAACTATAAGTGTTCATGTTGATCTACAATTTCCGTGTTGTTTTTTTTAGTATATAGGGGGGTATATTTTGCATATTATCGTTAATAGTGATAGAATTTCAAGTTCCTGTGGTCCTACTAAGTCATGCAAAGTCAAGCAATGTCTAGCAAAGTCAAGCAATGCCTAGCAAAGTCAGTTTTTTTTAAATTCTATAATTAATTAATATGATTTTGATATTTAGCAAATACAGTATACATGTATATTCTTTTGATTTTTAAGGCAATTACAGTTTAAAAATAAATTTCTGTTTTGTCACCTTTATCTTGAATATAATTAGTATAATTTACTCTAATATGTACTTTGCTTATATTTATATTTTTATATTATATAAACATATAAACATTTTAATATCAAGTTTTATCATTTGGAATAATATATTCAGCACAGTCTTCGGCAAATCTGCCAAATCTTTACTTACCTCAAAGGCTCAAGTCGTAAACAGTAAGTTGTTGATATACTTTCAATTGACTTGAATTACATATGTACCATCTAACTGTTCTTTTTCATTCATGTTTTATTTTCTTTAAATAATTTTTCTATTGCATATATCAAAATTAATCAAATAAATGAAGAAAAACAAACAAACTAATTACATTTCATGGCTTACTGTGCTAAATTTAAAATACGCTCCCTTCGCAGCTTACTGAATACACTCCCGTTACTTCAGACCGCTGCTTTAAAACGTGTCGATTCATGATATTGACCTTTACAGTGAACTTTGAACGCCCAATGAAAGTTTTCCAAAATCCAAATCGCCCGAAAATCTTTATACGCATTTTCATTGGTTGAAACAGATGACGTGTGTACAAAATTATAAATAGACGGGTAATTCCTCAAAATTTTGTAAACAAAATGGCGACTGTTAACAATTCAACTTTCGATAAGCTTGCAAAACGTTTCAATTATGGATCCATTAAACCGTTTCAAAAGGCAGTGGTACAATCTATCATTGAGCAGAACAATGACACTGTTGTGTGTGCAAAGACATGATCGGGAAAGTCTCTGTGTTTTCAAGGGTTAACATATTTATATAGTGAACTTGGTGTTAAAGAAAACCCAATTGTTTAGGAAATAGATATCAATTCTGAGTGCATTGTTGTAGAATAATGCACGGTTTGAGTTCAAATGCGTAGTAATATAATCACGAAGGCCGATAGGCCTGAGTGATTAATTACAAAGCATTTGAACGAAAAACGTGCATTATTGTACAATAATGCACGAAGAATTAATATCTATTTCCATTCTAACACGTCATGAAAAAAATATAATTATTATTATAAAGTTGGACTTTATGTTTGGCGGTTAAATTTGTTTTCGCCTTAGAGTTTCCAATAGAAACGTTCTTTAAAGGCCGTTCCAGTGGGTTGAAAAAACGGTCGTTAAATCTACCGTGTGTAGAAACATTTTGAGAATAACGAATTTTGAAAACGTTGATAAAACTTTGTTTGTTTATTTTATTTCATTCTATAATTTTCCAAGCGAAATACAAATTATTAAAAGTGAAATAAATGTAAAACTTAACTCGTCTGCGACGTTAAAATAGCGTACTTGATTTTGATTGTTTTGCACGTGCTGTTTGGCGCTACATTGTGACGTCACATAAACACCACTTTAAACGTCTGTACAGCGTTAACGACTGAATTAAAGATATTGGTGTTCGGATTTATTTTCTTAGTTAGACCATTTTCTATCATTCTAGATAGTTTTCACAACAAAATTCGACAAAAAATTGTTTTTATTTATCAGATTTTTCAAACAAAATGGCGCCCTCAATGTGAAAATACACAGGGAGATAATAAGAACGGCGAGTGCATTGTTGCAGAATAATGCACGCTTCGGGCCTTCTTTGTCTATATAGAAAAATTTCCGATAGTGTTAGAATTTGGGATTTAGACAGATTTCTGCCACTTACATAGATAAGGATTCCAGCGAAAATGGTGATATTCGTAGAGGAAAATATCTGTATTCTGTTTGACGAAGTACACACTGTCATGGTATGTTTTTCATTGTTCTTTTCACTTTTGACTAGTAAGAAACATGCTTTTCATTAAATTCTATATAGAGATCTACCATAATTTGATGTCAAATTTAAATTATATGTACAAAGGGTGTGAAGCTAAGATTTCTTTTTGGAAGTGGCAAGACTAGCCGTACGGCTAGACAATACAGTGTGCTAGTCATATATGACCCGTAATTGTGAACTTTTTTGATCATCAAGTGGGAGATTTTTCTTCAAAAAGAGGGAGATTTTAGAATTTTTAAGAAACAAAGAAGGAAGTTCAAACATCAAATAGGCCTATTGGGAGATTTCTTTAATTTGTGAAAATACCCCTTATCTTAAGAAAAATCTTTAAAAATATGGCTGCAGAAAGTGGGAGATTTCACATGTATGATTACCCACATACGGCAAGAACTTTTGTCTAGCCGTACGGCTAGCCACTTTCTATCTTATTTTCTATTTGTTGAAAGCTTTATATTGTTAAATAAGCTTTGCATCTACTAAGCAGGTGTCAACTCAGCCCAGTATTTATATCATGATAATTTGTATAATATTTATCTCAACATTTTTTTTCATTGATAGAAACAATAATGATGTATCATTGATATTTTCCTCAAAATTTCTGTCTATATATCAATTATGGATACTGTATCGACACATTCAAAACATTGATGATTTTGACATAATAATTAAATGTCTAGAAATTAGGAAAATTCACCCAAAAAAGGTGCCCATGTCTTACAATATTTGTTAATTGTTACTAGTGGAGTAGTGCTACATGTACATCATCTGTACATGTCATAGAGTGAGAAAAAAGCAGTCTGACCCTGGACCCTCTACCAACTGAAATATCCAGCTGCTTTCACATTTTCTCAGTGCAACTGGGAATAGTTCTGAAACATGATATACATGATTGTACTCCTCAGCTCTTGAAGTTTTTCTCATGTAACAGAGCAATGTGAATTAAATTCTGGACTGCACTAAATGTCACAGGTTGAGAAAAAATTGCAACCTGATCAGGACTCGAACCAGGGACCTTTGAAACATGTTTCCATGGCCCTACCAATAGCCCTATCCATCTGCTCACACATTTTCTCTCCTGAATATTGAACATTTCTGAACTTTGACATTTATTTACTTGCTTTAAAACTAAATATAATCTTAATATGAATAAATAAATATATGTGATATATAAAATATAATGAATGAGTACAAGCTGCTGATCATTTTGCCAAAAAAAATCATATTAAAGCAAGCTTTTAAAGTTTATTGTACTTGATACATTTTTTATACATAAATTATATAAATTTATATACATATTACACTTATTCATGTGACGTCAACCTGGATGTTTGTGGTCACTGTCCATAATTTTTTTTTAGTTCAATTCCCTTACTGGCCACTACAGACAGGTTTGACTGTAAGTTAATATTAATACAGTACATGTACATGTTTGTATAATTTTGTGATGTACATGTGTATAATATATTGTCATA